TTACAGTGAGTTACAGAAATAATTGGGTCTCATCATAGTTTCAGCCATTGGAGGGCAATGTTTGATTTGAATTGTATATTGCAGTTTTGCTGGCAAATGAATTCTCATGTCTTCTATTAAGGAGGAGAATTTCTCATAGGATATTGCACAAAGCTGCATTCAGTAGAGCCATAACTGGTAGTGACTCCTCACAGGAATGTGTGAAAAACTAAATACAAATATATTTGGACCTCTTTCTTTAAAGTGACATCGCATTGCTCTTCTTTCTATTATCTATTCTATAATTGGACTTAGAATGACTGCGAAGAATATTGGGGACCACTTCTTTATATTTGCTTTTATTTCTTTTCAATTCTTTGCTTGCTTGCTTTTTCTTTTTCTTTCCTTCCTTCCTTCCTTCCTCCCTCCCTCCCTCCCTCCCTCCCTCCCTTCCTTCCTTCCTATTAATTTGTGTTAGCTTTTATCTTCTTGTTTCAAAGTTTTAATAAAAATTATATATGTATATTTTAAAAAAGGAATGTGTGAAAAACAAATGCATATGGCACCTGCCTTACAGGCTATGGCAGCTTTTTAAAAACTTTTTGCCCTGATGAGCCTTTTAAAACATTCCTGCAAATAATAATGTGATCTTACTTTCAAAGATCAATGCTCAGATGGTTGGCTTAAGTCAGAGGCTATGGATGGAGAACACTGTAGGATTTCCATCCTGTTTATTAATGGGTTCATTTTCCTGGGTACTGAAAAAATAAACCCTGCTACCATTAAACTTATCTTTCGATAAAGTACCAGGCTGCCATAGAAGCCTTGGTACAAAACATTGAATTAGCATTGGAAATTTTAAGACTTGTGGACTTCAACTCCCAGAATTCCCCAATTTTGAAAGTTGAAGTCCACAAATCGTAAAGTTGCCAAGTTTGGAGACTCCAGATTCTACATAAAACAAAGTAATGAAATAATTATTTCTCCTTCTCTTCAGCATAGCAGAGTCCTAACAACCCTTCAGCTTGATTTTTGTCTTCTTCTGGCCAGGAGAGCACAATAGAGTAAAGTCTTTCCACTTTCCTTTTCTAAAAATTCTTATGCAGCTTATAAACACCTTTGGAAATGAAGATGATTCTGAAGTCTCATAGAGGAATAATTGGCTTATTGGTGTCCATAAATGCTATGGGGAGGACCCTCCAAATAATGAGAAAAATGCATCTAATTAGATGTTGTATTTCTTGAAAATGACCCATAAATCCATCAAATTCCCATCTTTCTTTGGAATAATTTTTCAGGGACTCCATTCAGAGGAAAAGGAGAAACTCCCATTGAATTTGTAGCTTGAGGTCCTGAAACAAGAGAGTATCTTTACTTTAATAGCTGTGACAAGCTACATTGGCTTCAATATAGCTTCATGACAAGCTACATTGGCTTCAATATCCTCTTTTTCTTTCTTGTTTACTTCTGGCCAGTATCCCAGCCAGGTCCTGGGAAGAAAGTACATTGAATGTGGGAGGACAAGGTTTTCCTTGATGTGTGGAACGGGTTATGACACGCCCTTTGGAATACTTTAAGGATCAAACAGTTGAGCAGATGGAATTTGGAAGCCTTTGCATGTCCTTGAACCCACAGAAATCAATGCAGTTGTGGAATGTGCTGTAGAGAAATTCCATTCCTGTAGAAGCATCCTGCAGAGCAGTCTTTCTCAAGTGTGGATTTCAACTCTCAGAATTCCCTAGCCAGCATATTGGCTAGGGCAGCAGTTCTCAATCTATGGTTCACTGATCTCTTGGGGTGTGTGTGTGTGTGTGATGTCATCACAGGGGGTCCACAAAGGCTTGAAGAAATGTTATGATTTAAATATCGAGTTAAGTCTTGGGGGTCTGTAGCCAAGGTTCTTGGCCACAAAAGGTATTTAAGGGGAGGTCCGTGGTGAAGAAAAGACTGAGAACCACTTAGGCTAGGGGATTCTGGGAGTTGAAGTCAACATATCTTAAAGTTGCTAAGCATCAGAAACACTGCTGTAGAGGGTTTGTTTCTGATTCCTGCTCCTCTTTAATTGCCTCTGCTTTAAAAGGCCCTGAATATTCGTGAATATTCTACATTAACTAATGAATGACAAAGTCTAACATGTTGATGTTGATTTTGAATGGTACCGGAACAAGAAGACAGACTTTATTGTGTGCAGCTAAGGGGTTCCTACGGCTTTCTCCTAGGCTATGAAGCAGAAGGAGGCAACGTCATGTTGTCAGGGCATGTTGATATTGTGGCTGGGTGCAAATGGGAAATGACTTTATGGATGAACCTGTTCTGGCTATAAAGTTTGTGAGGTTTTCTCCAGGGCTTAATGAGGCTGCTTAATGCTCGGTGTGCGTGTGGTCACCGGGCGTGGGGGTGGGGGGGGGTGGGATAATCAAAGTAATTGAAAGGCAGCACTTCCTTTCCCATTGCGTCCATGAAGACAGAGAAGAAGTAAGACTGGGGTAAGCAGTTTGTGGTAGAGAAGAGGAAACGGTTTCCTATCTTTATCTGAAACATCAGGTTCACATGTTTTATAGGCAATGGAGCATGATGTATCACAGTAGAGTGGGTGAGGAACACATACATCCTGTGTTGAACCTTAAAAAAAAAATACATGCCAAAGAAGAATGCTTAGTTGTATCGGCCTCTTGGTTTTTCTTAAATCTTTCCCATTTTGCTTTGCAGCTGAACATGAAATTCCAAAAGGCAGGGTTTGTCTCCAACCTAAGAAATCAGCACCAGAAACCCCATGTACGCACACAGTCACAAAATGAGTGGTTCAATGCCCTCCCCTCCCCTCTCCAAGAACTGATGGTGATAAGACCTGAAGACAGAAAAAATTACCCACTTCCTGGATGGTGCATTGTTCAGCTCAGTGGGTGTAAGATTACTAGCGTTGTAGGCTTTGCGGCTGTCACTAGGAGTTGAGGAGACTCTGTAAAATGAGCAGGTGTTCTCGTCATCTTGACACCCTCAGAAGCTGCAGATATGTTTGCAAAAAAAGCAACAGCAACAACCCCACCACCCTACAATAGCATTGTTTTTTTGCCAGTTTAAGTAGGAACACAGTCAATAAATAAGGCGAAAAAAAGGGGGGAGGCAAATTTGTGTTAAACAATAGCCAGGCGTTTAGGGCTAAATCTGAAATAACATTAATTTCGGATTAATTTCGGGATTGCACTTTTATTGTTAGTAGGATACGTCAGTCTACTGAAAATGTGAAATAGTTAATCAGGGCGCCTCCAGGGACATATATACAAATGAAATATGATGTGATACAAGGCTGTCTCTAGAAATTGGTGAGGTCTCAGAAGACTGGAGGAGAAGAAATACTGACCCTTGTTTGAGTTCTAATAGAACCTAGGGTTGGAAGGGCCCTTAGAGGTCTTCTAGTCACACCCCTGCTCAGGCAGGGGACCCTATACTATTCCAGATAAATGCCTAACAAATATAAATACAGATAATACTACATATACTACAAATACAAAAAAAAAAACCACCACAAATGCAAATAACAAATAAATATAAACACATGCCCTGGTTTTAGAGCTGAAAAAGCAAGCAGTAATTTTGCAAGAAAGAATTGCTAAAAAGAAGAGCTTGAACGCCATTGGAACAGAGACTTGGGGATTGTTTCCATCTACAAATAGAAATAAAAGCAATCGGGGGAAAGAGACCCTGTAAATTTTTCTGTCCAGAGCTGAAAAGCAGATAGGACTTTTGCAAAGAATTACTAAAAGGGCTCGCACACTATGGGGCTCTCTGCTTGCAAGGATGACTGTCATCCCAATGGATTCATTTATGTATACTCACTTTTTATGCATACTGTACTGATTTCATGTATACATAATAAATAACTCCACATCGGCTTGAAGAGCAGTACTGAATGAAATGATACCATGGGCACATTTTTATTAATGGCCTGGATGAAGGAGTTGAGGAAATGGTTATCAGACTTGGTGATGTTGTAAAATTAAGAGGAAGGATCAACACTTTGGAAGAGAAAGAGAATATTCAAAAAGATTCAGAATGGCCAATAAAAACAACAGGATAAAATTTAGCAGGAAATATATATATATGAAATTCGGCTTCTGGGGAGGAAAATATAGGAATCTAGTTCATAAATGTGGAAAAGATCTTGGTTGTTTTACCAGTGTTTCTCAACCTTGGCAGGTTTCAGATATGTGGACTTCAACTCCCAGAATTCCCCCAGCCAGCTTTGCTTTGCTGGCTGGGGAATTCTGGGAATTGAAACCCACACATTTTAAACTTGCCAAGGATGAAAAAGTAGGCCACAGGCTTAGGGTGAGCCAATAGAGACACAGCTGCTTAATTAAGGTAAATACTATAGGGGACAATAAAGTCCAAGTCATAGGACATAGTAGTCTCTTTCTACTCAGTCCAATCTTTTTATATCCCTATGAGCTGCCCAAAGAATTTATAAATTTTTATAAGGTGAGATCAGACTGATATACATGCTATGAAACCCACCATCGAGGGCAGGGGCATCAAACTCAATTTCATTGAGGGCCGCATCAGGGTTGTGATTGACCTTTGGGGACCAGGATGGGCGTGGCCAGGATGGGCGTGGCCAGCTCAACATCACTTGTGTCAGGGGCGTCTGTGGGGGCCCGAGCGCTCTGCCAACGAAAACGGGCTTGCGAGCTCCATTTTCAACCATGACGGCCTCCTGCTGCCCTCTGCCAGTGAAAACGGCGCTTGCAGGGCTCCACAAGCTCCATTTTTGCTGGCAGAGACACCGCGGGCTGGTCCTTTGCAGTTTCCAGAGCGGCCCCATGGGCCAGATCTAAGCACCCTGTGGGCCGGCTCCGGCTCTCGGGCCTTGAATTTGACACCCCTGATCTAGGGTTTGCCCTGTCTTTGCCTTACTTTCTTCAAAGAATTCACAGTTATTTTGCTCTTCTGTGAAACTAACTAAATAGCCTTGCCTTGGAGGATTTTCTTAAATAGCCCAGACAATTAAAAAAGACAGGATTGCCAGCTAGCCAAAAAGCTTTTATTTAAATCAACCTGCATATATATATTACAGATGGTAACAGCAACCTATTTATAAAACAAACTTGTATCTTGTGTTATTATTTTCACTTTGAGCTGTTTTCTGTAAATGGCCGAATGCAAAACCTCTGATTACATTTCACATAAACGTAGGTGCAGTTACAATCAAAGACATTCCGTATGTTTGGTTACTTCAAGTCCGATGAACAATTGTCCTCTCCTGTCCTGTTAAAGAAGGATAATCTGGTGGAACCACCACACTAGATCTTGCTTTACTGGTATTCTTGTCTTGAAAAGCTGGAGCTCAAGATGAAGCCTCCTGGATGGAGGAATTACTTCTTTCTTTGAGACAAGAGAAGGATTCTCACAAGGTGGATTCATGGAAAAAGATATAACCGTTTCTCCAGAGGTGACATTATAGTCACTTGGGAGGCCAAATATAAAAGAGCATCAGTAGGATGGACACCATAATGGATGACAGGCATGTGTGGCTTATGTCTATTCCTCTGCAGAAGGATCTTGTGCCTTTTGTAGGAAAGTATGATCTGGATTATATCTCTCAGGCACAGAAGATGCATCTGAGATATTTTATAACTCCTCTTACTCAGATTTCCTCTGAACAATGACAGTCATATGTAACGTTACAAACAAATGCATGTACTTGAGTATTGACATCAGACATTTTCCTGGCTTTCTTTTCACTTCCTCGTTTAGCTGGCCGATGCAATGAAATCATGGATAGTCCAACATGTTGGAGTAATTGCAGCAAGAGCAGGATGCCGGCTGGCTGGATTATTAAGCAATTAGCAATGGAAAAGAGCTCCGTTTCTTAAACTTGGGTAGGATTGATGAGCCTTCATGTTCTCATGAAAAGTGAAGCTCATTACATGTGAAGAAGATGGACCATCATCCACATCAGTGGCAGCAAAATGAAAACTGGGCTCCCAGACACCATTTTTCCAGTGGAGTCCTGAAAGAGAAATTGAGAAAGATGTTTTATATTGGGTCAAATAGGGTGTCCACAAACCTCTACACTAACAATTATTTTATTCACTGACACATGTCCCCATTCATAGAGCTGGAATATGTGTTTGTCCTGTATATACACATAAATTTGACATCTATTTATGCTGCCAGAGTAGAGAGATAGATCTTCAGACCGTTCAGAGTAGCTTTGGAAAGTGAGATGGGTGGTATGCAAAATTTAAAAATAAAATGAAAATGAAACGTATGCAAAATAGAAGAACATGGAACATTTGCTCCCAAATATTGTTAACATCTGTTCCTCCTCCCCTCCTAACAATACCTAAGATATTGTAATATGATTAGAGAAGCAAAAGTATAAAAAAAAATAAACAGAAAAGAATTTTTAATAGGAAATCCAGTGGTACCTTGGTACTCAATTGCTTTGAAACTCATCGCATTTGGTACTCAATGCATTTTGACATGAAAATTTTTGTCCCGGTATTCATTGTTAGTTTGGTAGTCAATGCACAAGTTAGAACGTGTCGGTGTCGGCTGCCTTGTGACTCACTGTTCCTTATGGGAAAAAATTGCTTGGTACTCATTGTTTTTGGTTCTCATCCTGGAACCAATTAAGCAGGAGTATTGGGGTACCACTGTATATGGAAAGGATATCTTTTAGGGTTCCCTTTAAGCCACTCCATTAAAGCTCCATTAAAGTCTAGGCGGACACTGACTGTAGGACAGATAGATCCAAACCACAAGGAGGAAGTGGGTGTGCCACTCAACTCAGAGTTCATTGTGCATTTTAAATAAGGTCTGAAAAAGAACATCTAAGTGCATTCTAGCTTCAAAACTCCATGTGCTTCGAACTCTCCAAATCTCACCATATCTAGAAAATGCATAAGAATCTTCAAAGCAGGTGGATACATGGAAAAATTGTGGAAAAAGCAGATTGTTGTGAATCGTCCTCACCCTGGGTCAAATGACTCCATGAATCTTAACTGGAACATGAAAACACGCATGATTCCTTTGGGAAGAATTTTTTTTTAGACGCTGCACAGGGAATGCCTACTTAAGACATCCGTTGTCCCCATGGTCTCCATGCCATGCTTGTCACAGACCTCCTAACTTATTTATTTTATTTATTTATTTATTTATTTTATTTTATTTTATTTATTTGATTTGTCAATTGTTTACAAGATAATAAGTATAAGTGTATACATAGTTGTGAATACATGAAATGGGTACATATAAGAAAAATAAAAGAAGAATAAGAGAAACAATAGGACAGGGACGGTAGGCACGTTGGTGCGCTTATGCACGCCTCCTACAGACCTCTTAGGAAAGAGGTCGTCTAAGGTTAAAGTTTTTGGGGTTTGGGGAAGAAACTACAGAGTCGGGTAGAGTATTCCAGACATTGACCACTCTATTGCTGAAGTCGTATTTCCTGCAATCAAGTTTGGTGCGGTTAACTTTGAGTTTGTATCTATTGTGTGCTCTTGTGTTGTTATGGTTGAAGCTGAAGTATTCATTGACAGGTAGGACATTGCAATGTATGATTTTATACAATGTCTCATTGTGTTCCAATGGTTAATTAAAATTCTGTTTATACTTTCATAATGTGTTATGTTCCCCCCTGCCCAGATCCCTGCACCAGTTGCTTAAGTTATCAGTTAAACCAGGGATCCCCAAACTTGGCAATTTTAAGACTTGTGGACTTCAACTCCCAATTTGGAGACCTCTGAGTTAAACCAATGCAACTGTTGCAACGGACACATTCGAACTTGAAGAAACTATGGTTTCCTGTTCCTGCATCTTATTTTACTGTACAGAAAAGAAAATGCAGAAATAGCTGAAAGCAATGTTTTAAGAAATGTATCTCCAAGGAAACGAATGTCACTCCAAACCTAGGACGATAGAATTAGTTTGGTTTGAACTGTGAACTAATTTGAGCAGACATTCTCTGAAATGGTAAAATAAAGTTCTCGGACGGAGATGAAATGCTGAAATCTCAGACCACGCTGAAATCAATGAGATTTTGGGAGAGCAAGATGTATCTAGAAGTAGCAGAAGGTTGCACAATTGTACCTGAATTCTAAAGAAGTCGGCCAAGCTCTAATTGATTATATAATCTTTATTGTGAGCATAGATATGATTTAATGCTTGGAAGTTTTAGATTTGGACACAATTCAAGTGTTAAAGGGTGGGTGGTCCACACTCAAATAATCAGTCAGATAGTCCATGAAAACCTTCAAAAGATTTCTTCTGTTGTGATGGGATTTGGATTCAGCCTAATGTACTTTATAAGGCTGTTTGGCAGTAGCACAGAGCAACATAAATATAATAATGATGATGATAATGATGATTTTTAAAAATAAGTGACATTTAGTGCAAAGCAGCAGACCAGCTAGATATTAAAACCTTATAAATGCCTCCTTTTGGGCAGCAATATGAATTGGTTTGTTTGTACAGAAGTAACATTTACCTGCTCCGTTATCATGCCATACTTTACCGACATCAGAGAATGCTGTGTTGATTAAATTTAACTCCCAGAATAGTAGCAATTGGTCATGTTGGTAAAATTTAGCAGGTCTGGAAGATCGAATCTTGAGAAAGTTGATCTGCACCTGTTCCTTCCTTCCCATTTTTTTAGGATGAAACACAATGAAACCGTGCTAATCCTGCTACCCAGTGTAAATTAAATACTGCAAGCGTATTGACTTTCTAATTTTTAGCCAGCAATAACAGCAAGGTCATTTGCTTCTGCTATCCTGATACTAAATGATTTGTTGGGTTGTTTTTTTTTTTAAGAACCCAATAAACACATCTGCTTGTACAAAAAAGAAAAAAAACAACATTAATCATGGCCGCTGTGTTTAGCTGATTTGAAAGGAAAATTAAGCAACAGAATATTTTCCATATTTTGCCTTGGCCCAACACAATGGGTCATAAACCAGCCAAATAGTCTACGTTAACATAACATGGCCAACTCACAAAAGTCTAACCAAGATTAAAACTAATCAAGCCTAGATTTGGTCGCATAGTATGAATGCAACAGTTCTTAAGTTTGTAGCTGCCTGGATTGGGCCTGTTGTGTGAATCCACCCTCTTTTAACATCTTTCTTGACATGTGACCAAATTGTCACAATGTTAAAAATGATGTTTTGAGTTCTATTGAATATCAAGTCTGAGGCATATGAAAACACAGCCAGGTTATAGTAAATCTTGCAAAAAGTGTTAAGTTTGTGAATGATGGAGAACAGTTTGCCCTTCGAGATAAGTTAAGAACTGGCTGGATTGACTAGAGAAGAATCGGTGAGGTCCTTGTCTTGCTGGACATTATTTTCTGAATAGTGATTTGGAGTGATAAATTCAAAAGCTTGGGACCAGAATTTCCATTGTTAAGGAGCAGAACAGAACAGAACAGAATAGGAGCTGGAAGCTTGGGGTCTTCTAGTCCAGCCCCCTTCTCAAGCAGGAGAATCTATACTATTTCAGATAAGTGACTGTCTAGTATGTCCAACTGTACAGCCACAAAAGAAAACAGTCAGCGCAATGGCTGCAACGTGTGAAAAAGTAGTTTGGAGTAGTAATTAAAGCACCAGGCTATCAGAAGAAACTGGGAGATGGTGAGTTGTAGTCCAGCCTTAGGCATAAGGGCAGCCATTCACATTCTCTCAGCCATAGGAACATCAGAAAACCCTTGCGAAGAAAACTGCAGGGACTTATCCAGATAGCCTGAGAATTGGACGTGGTTGAAAAGGAAAAAAAATTGTGTACATGCACACCATACTTAAGTTATAAAATAAAAGAATGGAATAGAATAGGAACCAGATTAAGTTATTTTTAAATGACAGTAGTTGCAGTGTGTGTAAACATAATTTTAAAAATGCAGGCATTGCATACAATGAATCTTGAACATTTAGAATAATACTGAAGAAATTGCAGATTGAGGTCAAATGAGTCAATTAATAAATTCTTAACTGACACCCACCGTAAGGAAATGAGTGTTTTCTCTGTGCATTATCTAGTGGGTTAAACCAGGGTAACTGAAAATTAATGAACACAATGGGGTTACTTCAAATTCTTGTTTCTCTCCAAAAGTGAAAGGCAAATCATACCGTATATAGGTTTGTGTCTAAAATAATTGCAAATAGATCTTTTTCATTTCAGTTAATTGCTCATGAATACCACAGCTTCCTTCTGCAGTCTTAGGGTTGTAAGTACCCGGTAAACCAGGATTCGTATTTTATAAATTACTACAGTTTAACCAAACCCAAATGATCTCCTTACAGGCACCACCTTAAGCTATAAGGCAACTTGTTTGGCTACATGTTACAGGAACACAGCCAATGTGATTTTTTTTAAAAAAGACCACAGCACATTGTTCAAATATAATAATTATGAAGACACATTCATTTCTGGTGTGCTGTATTTCCAAGAGGCTGAATTTAATTGCTGGAAAAATAGTGCACCAGAAAGAAATTTTGTTTGAGTTTCTGTAAGAAATGAATTTTGAGTCAGGATGAGTTTTCTAGAATTTAACTGCAGTTAGCTAAGTGGGCACACGTTCTAACTCTTTAAGTATGGCCATCTCTGGAAACAGTCTGTTACTATGTTGTTGAAGGATGATTTGGCTCTAAAGCAGTCTGCTTTAAAAGTTGATTAGGATAATGGTAAATATTCCTTTATAAGCCGTGAGGAGAGAGGAAGTCATCATGGCTTGGGTAAGCCCTCCAGTGTTCTCTGCTAAATGCCATGTATATTCTATATAAATATACCATATGATGTGCAGAAAAGGAATTGTATATGTTTGAGCAGACTGAATACAAGGCAACATGGCTGCTATTTTTATGAGATATGTTAAGCCAGAAAAAAGGAGGAAGGAACCTGATTGTCTCTTAGTCCATATTGCACACATTATTTTAACCAAAAGTTGACCCCAAAGGGCCAGCACTGGAATTTATAAAACCTGGAATACTATATGAAGCACTAAAATGATAGGACACATGTGCTCAGTGCTTTGACTTGAATGGGATGTGAAACAGTCCTAGGGTAGATAGATGAATTTGTGCTCAGTAAGTCAAAATAATTGTCAAGTACTCTCATCTACTGGACTGGACAAAGCATCCAACCATGGGAATGGCCACCAGATGGCAGCAAAGAAATAGAGGGGGAATAAAAACATGTGGTAGTAGATTTCTGCCCCCCAAACAAGGAAGCCTTGGTAGGTATAGTCTGCTTGTAAAAACCCACTAGGGAGTATGCTCTGAACAGCCTACGGAGACATAGAGAAGAGGAAGGAGGAGCAGAAAAGTCGAGAAAAAAACAGAAGAGAGAATAGTCCAAATGGGAGAATACAATTTGATGCATTTGCAAAAATTTAACAGGATTCCCTCTGGAAACTGGAATGAAGATGTGCCAATTTTTGCCAACTGACTGTGGTAATTATTTTTGATCTTTATAAATAAGGATCACCTTATTTATAGTATGCTACTTTATCTACAAACTTTCAACAGTCCCCCCCCCCTGCCAAAAGATACAGAAATAGGAGTTTTCAAAGGCCAACTAGCAATCCCAATAGGATGGTAGACAGGTTGGTATCTATCTATCTATCTATCTATCTATCTATCTATCTATCTATCTATCCGTCCATCCATCATCTCATCCATCTACGGCAGGGGTGTCCAACCTTGGTAACGTTAAGCCTGGCTGGGGAATTCTGGGAGTTGAAGTCCTCCAGGCTTAACGTTACCAAGGTTGGACACCCCTGATCTACGGTATCATCCCATCCATCCATCTATCATCTACCCAGTCTTAAATAAAAATACAATTATGTCAGTAGAAATCACAACACAGCACGTGTGAGAAAGGCTGCTTGGCATTACAAACAGTTTGGATGCCAATGATCTCTAAAATCAGTTTTGAAGTACATGCCCTTTCAATTACATTTCTATATATATATATATATTTTATTAGCAAATAAGTTCTATATAACTTAGGGAAATTTCATCCTTAGTAGAAATCCACTAATACCAATTATTAAGCATAAACCATTGAAGTCTTATGGATTATTACTTAGAAATCAGTTCTTCCACGTTTAGTAGAACGTCTAAGAAATATATCTCTCATTGAAAACCTGTACCCAGTTCACAAACACATATTTCCTTCAATAAAAGCCTGATGTTTGAAATAACCAAAGATTCTAATTCAACTCACCCAGACAACTGTTTCATTTTGAGGTGTAGCTTTATCTTTACCTTCAGGTGAAGATTTATCTTGTTCATCAGCCATAACCAGGCTCATCAAGAGAATGGCACCAAGGAGCAAAGTGGCCTTCATGGTTAAGGTCTCTGCAGCTCTCAAGGTTGGAGTGTCTGGGAAAAGCAATTTCTTTCTTAGAAGAGATGCAGAAGGTTTTCTACTAAGGCAAAAGCAGAAGGAACTTGCCAATCACAACCAGCGTCTTTTGATTTGCTTTTGTGTGGATGATGGTGGGTGGGGATTATTATGGTTGGTCCTTTGACACATCCAGAGCTGATCTGCTTGCCTAGAAGAATAAAGCTGCAATAGCTTGGCTTATGGAAGTGCATTCAAGGGACAGCAAACCTTTGATCCGTCAGAGGACAGATAGACATTTTGTAAATCTTATTGCCTGAAAGGAGGGATCTGCAGGCACGACAACTGTCAATCGTCTTCCTTTCTTCTAAATGAATATGACGATGTAATGAACCAGGGGACGATTCCAATGATTTCGGCTCTTGTCATGTTTCACAAAAATCAATGGGGGCCAAGTCCAGTAAGTGTAAAATTCCTAATGTTTGGCAACTTGTGTCATTGCGCCAAAAGCTCCCATTTCAATCAATGTGACAACTGGTTCTTTTCCCCCGCCATAATTTTTCTACCTCAATTTGTAAATCTTAGTATTTTGTTCCTTACTCTGATGGTTTTCATCAGTTCTCTCAATATTGCCACATTAGTGAAATTTACCTTGATGATAATATTCCCTTCTGAGGACTGATTTGGCTGTAATTTTTTTCTCTCTCTAAAAGTCAAATTGAATTTTATTTGCCTTAGCTGTTATGTCTATGGAGATCCTCAGTCATCCAAGTCATGGTTGTGCTTTTTTCAAGAGGCAACTGGACTTTCTTATTGTTTATTTTAAAGATGTTTTGCTTCTCATCCATAAGTATATGGATACTTCCTTATCAATCCTTCCATTCCCCACAATCCAGTCAGAGCTGAAAAAGCTTCTTGGATGAGAAGTGAAATGTCTTCAAAGAAGAACTAAAAAGTCCAGTTGCCTCTTGAAAAAAGCACATTTGGGACAACCTTAGCTGTTATTATTTTAGGTCCTCTGCCATTGGTGACAGAATTAATGCTTAACAGGGCTGGTCCTATCATTAGGCAGATTGAGGCAGCTACCTGAAGTAGTAATTATTGGATAGCAGTAGGGACGCCCATCTTATTTTTCCGTCTGGAGAATAGAGATGCACATGTGCGATATACAGGTAGTCCACAACTTACCACCATTTATTTGATGACCATTCAAAGTTATAACAACATTTTTTTAAATTTGAGCACTTGTGTTTACACTTGTGTTTACAGCAAAAGCACATAGACTTATATACTGCTCCACAGTGCTTTACAGCCCTCTCTAAGCAGTTTACAGAGTCAGCGTATTTGCCCCCAACAATCTAGGTCCTCATTTTACTGACCTCAGAACGATGGAAGCCTGAGTCAACCTTCAGCAGGTCAGGATCCGACTCCTGGTGTGAGCAGTGAGCTAGTACTGCATTTTAACCACTATGCCACAACAGTGGTCTAGGCCAGTGGTTCTTAACCTTTTTGAAAGAATCGCCCCCTTGAGCCATTAAGGAAGTTATCATTGCCCCCCTCCCCCAACATAACCTCTCAATCACAACACAGGGAAGTAATTCTTCAATTTATGCAAACACGTTTTTTGTTTTCTTTAAAATTGTCATCAGGACATATCGATGCAAATAATTTATTTCCAGTCTTTTTCCCATATCTCAACTGTGTGAAAAATTCTGATGCCACCCATCACTTTACTCCCAAACTTCATGATACAAGTGTTTCATTACTATCTTATTTATTCAAGACACTTAAATGCAATGACCACTGAAAACAAAATTCAATTGCAAGAAAATGAAATGCCCGAAAATAACAGTAACATTTAATGATTTAATTACAAGTGAATTTTAAGATGCAAAAAGACATATAAAAAGAGCATAAGAACAAACTGTAATGCAGGAACTAAGAATTTCAAGACAAAAACTCTGATACTAAATTAAGATTCGAGGAAAATATATATTCATGCACACTGTAAAAAGGCTTAAAAAGACACAAAGAAAATTTTTACAGAACATTTTAAAACGCAGTTCAATCCACTAATAGCGAGCGATCTGATGTTTTTGTACGACAGATATACAGCTGCTCACTGTACAAAAAAAGTCTCAAAAGTGTCCCCAAAACTTCTCGTTCCATTGCCCCCCATATCAGCCCCTTCCGTTCCTTCACCCCCTTGTTGCCTCTTTTTGTTCCATTGCCCCCCTGAAAAATGAAATCGCCCCCTGGGGGGACGATATCGCCCAGGTTAAGAACCACTGCTCTAGGCCAGGGGTCTCCAACCTTGGCAACTTTAAGACTTGTGGACTTCAACTCCCAGAGTTCCTCAGCCAGCTGGCTGAGGAAGTTTGGGAGTTGAAGTCCACAAGTCTTAAATTGCTAAGATTGGAGACCCCTGGCCTAGGCCCTCACCTGATTAACTATGCATTCTTCTATGCATTCTTCAAAAATGATCAGAAGAGTTTCTTCAGAATGCAAGGGGTGTGAATGCAGCACCTGTCTAAAGCAGCTGCTTTTTTCAAGCTTCCTCAGAAAAAAAAAAAAGACACAGATGAATAGATTTATTAATAACTGCAGATACTTTAAACAGCTTCTGGGCTAAGGCTTCTGCAGATAGCAGAGGAAATAATCTGAATGATTTTCAAATCATGCTCCCCTCTACTGATATTGACTGTAAATTGGGAGGGATCAATAAACCTGAAAAAATGGTTAGAGATTCAATGTTACTTTCAGAGCCTTTTAATACCATGGAACCAGTGGTGGGATTCAAATTTTTTAACTACCAGTTCTGTGGGCATGGCTTGGTAGGCATGGCAGGGGAAGGATACTGTAAAATCTCCAGTCAGTAGTAGCATTTGCCGGTTCTCTGAACTACACAAAATTTGCGCGACTGGTTCTTCAGAACTGGTCAGAACCTGCTGAATATCACCTCTGCATGGAACTGAAAAATGCCAACAGGAAGACTGCATTTGTCTAACTTGCTTGGGGGCTTCCCCAAGACACTTGATCAACCACTGTGACAATGCTAGGCTAGATGCTGGTTGTTTGATTTAGCGGAATCTTCTCATTTTCAACTTTTTCTCTTGTCCTTTTTGACTACACAAAAATGGCATACAGATGTGCCAAAACATTTACTTTAATAAAGTGAATTCATCTATCTTTGTGCTATTCAAAAGTCAGTGCATCAGGAGCACAAAGTCAGTCTTAGGAAGAAAAAAAAGATTTTTAAAAGCCACAATGCCAGAGATTTATATAAATCCAACATTATATTTATGGCAGGGTACATGGGATGAACACACACAAAATGTTTGGCTTTTGGCCTTCTCATCTGGGATAGGCAGTTTGGGCTTTCTAGACATTTGGCATTGCATGGGGTAGGATCATCATTGGACAAATCAGTCCAGAATTGTCACTCCAGGAACATACGAGCAGGCTATTTTTATGCTACTTCGGAAGACCCAGCTCTCTGGAAAATGGCCCAATGCTGGGAAAGGTGAAAGGAAACAGAAGAGGGCAACCAGCAGCAAGGTGGAAATAATTGTGGGGAAGACCCAAAGGATCCCCTTGGCAACATATAATCTTGGAGTAAATCTATCCCTGTGGTTGTTAAGAGCCCACAGTGACTTGATGGCATATTCTCCATCCACTCCATCCATCCATCCACACACACACCTGTTCACTTGTCTATTTGGAAGGGGACAGATCGTGTCCAAGGCTGCATTGATTTCTCTTCCTGGCCCCCTTCCAAAAATAAAATAACAGTGGAAATACAAGTGATGCGAGAGATGCTCCGTTCTCACAACTCTGCCAAAATACATCAAAGAAGAAGCTGAATCCCTGTGGAGATTCTCAATCTCAATCATCCAGGCCAGAGGTCTCCAAACTTGGCAACTTTAAGACTTGTGGACTTCAACTCCCAGCATTCACCAACCAGCATAGCTAGCTGGAGAATTCTGGGAGTTGAAGTCCACAAGTCTTAAAGTTGCCAAGTTTGGGAACCCCTGATCCAGGCCATGGTTGTTCCAAAGGCGCTAAGAAACATGCTAAGAAAAACTGAACTAAAGAAAGCCCAGTTGCCTTTTGAAACGCACTTTTTGGAGAAGCCCAGCTGAACAGGGAGCTTGGAATGTTGGGAAATGTAGTCTCGGGAAACGCAAACGGGGGTCGGTAGCCTAGGCAACCGCCGGTAAACAAGATGGCGGCGCCTCTCTGAAGCCTCCGGAGGGGCTGGTGAGTCCAGGCTGGGAGCGGGAGCCCCCCGCCCCGCGCGCGCTTCGTTTTCCCACCTGTCCTTGACGAGGCCGCCTCATTCCCGCGAAAGACCTTCAGAAAAATCCCCGGCGCCTCCCCAAACTAGCGGGGCACGTTGGTTCTCATCCCAGCGAGGTGGCTGCCAAGTTTTCAAGACCGTGTGAAAGGGCAACAGGGACGGGGGCAATTTAATGGGGGGGGGAGGGGGGGGGGAGATGGCGATATTTCAACGGGCCATGGCAGAAAAGGGCCTTGGAAACTGACTCCTTAGCTAACAGTACCCAGTTGGTGGGTTTGCTTAATGTAGTCTGTTCCCATAAAACAGGGGTCCCCAAACTTCGCAACTTGAAGCCTTGTGGACTTCAACTCCCAGAATTCTCCTGGTTGGAGAATTCTGGGAATTGAAGTCCACAAGGCTTCAAGTTGCCAAGTTTGGAGGCCTCTGCCATAAAACACAACCTTGACTTCACAAGGCTCAGACCTCGGCTGGGTCCCTGGAAGCATGCGCTGAAGCTGAAATTCCCCCATGCCTTTCTCACCTAGCCTAAGAGGTTGTCTGAACCCAGCCAAGGAATCCCTCTGGCCTTAATAGGGAGCTTCATCTCAGGATAAGGATTTTGCATAAGGCTGATTCTCGTCTTCTCCTTTGGGAGCTCTTTAGAGGTGTTGGAGCATTGGGAACCTATGGAAGTTGAGGTCCCACATTTGGTGAGTGCAAGGATGGGGCGGGTTGTATTCGGCTGCAGTGCGGTCCCATGCAAGAGCAAGTCGTAATGTTTTCAAGAAAGGTCAAACATTTTTCCTCAGTTTGGTGCTGATGGGATAAATTTAACTTTAGAATA